CCCATTTGTGCCCCTTTGTAAAGTCATATCTTTTGGTGAAGGTGGGGTAGAGAAAAGTGTTCTTGCTCAGAAACTGAATTTTCAATCCCAGAGGTACATCTTCCCCTGCTGACCTGCTGAAATGAAAGACTAGGAGTCATGATTAAATCTAATTTCTCCCCCCTTAGTGGCAGGATGAGCTGGGTCAGCAGGGCCAGTCCCTGCAGATGGCTTTAAAATACCTTGGTGATTTGATCTCCTTGCTGTCCCATCCATTTCTGTAAGTGGCTGTCAGCGCCATCCTTTAGCACCCTGACAAGATCCCAAGGTGAGAACAGCACAAATGAAGGAGAGTGTTTGCAATGAGTCCACGGGGTATTGTTTATTAGATGAGTTAGGCAATGAAGCAAGGCTGACTTGTAAACTACAAGGTAGGTTAGTGCACTTACAAGAAGATAATCCCAAGTGTGATTTAACCCATGTTTCTTCAGCCCAGTGTAATTCCTGTGAAAGGAATATCAGTTTACACTATAAAAATAGCTGATTTGTGTTTTCAGCTGAGCTGAAGATTCCTTGGCTTGCTTCCTTTGCTTGGGTCCTACCTTGCTTTTTGACAACATCTGGAGAATGAGTAAGAGGTATGTGTGTGTGCACGGTAACCTGTAATTGTATTCTACACAGAGATGCTCAGAGGGACTCGAAGTACTACACTTAAGCTGATTCAACTGTGATAAGTGAGCTGTCTATGCTCGTGACCAGCAGAGTTGGTCATCTCTAGCTCTAGAAGAAATGAAGCCTATGAGCCATATCAAGAAATAACATATTTTTATTTCTTTTGCAGAGTGGAGGTATGAAGTGGCTCATGCCTTCCCTCCAACAGAAGAGGAGGTGGAAGTGGCCTCACATGTACACAGCCACAGGTGGAAAAGGAGTATGGAGACCCTGAAGGCCGTGGACACAAACCGTGCCAGCATGGGCCAAGACTCTCCAGACTCCAGAGGCTTCACTGATCTGGTGCTGGATGATGGGCAGGACAACACCACCCAGATTGAGGTAGACAATCATCTGAGTAATTAAGATGGGTTAAGTCTAGATTCCTTATAAAGGGTGCAAGCTCTAACCTGTGTTTTCATCTCAATCTAAACTTTCAAACTTGTTTCTTTACAAAATGAGTCATTTCTGCTTGGGCAGACTTAGGGACTGGGGTTCAATTCCTGGTGTGTCGTGCCGGCCCTGCCCCCAGGGCACACTGAGCTGGTGACTAAGACTGGTCAGGGTGGACTATGCCTATAATCCCAGTGTTTGGGAGGCTGAAAATAGGAGGATCATTACAAGTCCAATCTGTGTATTGAGATCCTGTAGACCCTGCACTATATTTATTAATTTAAAAAGTCATTCATTAATAAGCTAAGCCATTTAATCATCCATTCATTTATTTACTTAGCACACAAGCATTGTTTTGGTATGGTGAACAGGGAAAGGCAACTTAGTTCCTTCTCAGAAGGAAGTCATTATATCAGGGTTTCTAAATGCCATAACCAGGTAATCCCTATATTTGATGATAGGAGCAAAGGAGTGTGGGTTGTAGCATGGGATGCAGGAGAGTGCGACTAATCTTGCCTTGAACTGGGCATTGGAATGTTTAAAAAAGAGGCTTTGCCCAGGCCTAGGCATTTAGGAAGGAGTAGAAGATGGAGAGAAGCTCACTCCATGGATAACCTGGACAGAGAAGAGCACATTCCTGGCAGAGTATGCGGGATTCCCACTCTGAGATCTTGAGAGGCAAAATGACATGGCAGTTTCAAGAGTTTTATAAGGTGAAAAACAATTCTAATTCTGCCAGGGCTGTCAGTGTTTCCTAGGAGGTAATATTTCCAGAAAAAAAAAAAACAAAAAAACACAGTTTTGACAAACTGGGATGGTTGGTCAGTCTTGACTCTCAGATTTCATTTGTTATGTTTGGAGCTATGAAGTGAAAGAGAGTTGGGCGGTTGGAAAGCAGTTTGGTGAGTATGACATTTGTAAAGGGCACATTTCAGGCAATCTTGAGGTTGCTAAGAGGTCTCTAAGGTTGTATTGCATTTCTTAAGTTTCCATACTCCTGAACATTGCAAATCATAAAATATGATCTTGCTTAGAAGTCGTGGAAATGAGCAAAGACCACCCAAGTGAGAATAAACAAAGATTATTTATTTAGTTTTCTGAAGAAAGGGAGTCAGTCACCATCATTGTCTTTGCCAGGGACTCAGAGGAAGGCAAGGCAGTGGAAATGTTTTGTGCAAAAAGGAAAGACTTCAGGTACATTCTGATTGGACAGTGTGGACTTGAGACGCTGAAGGCAGATTAATAGCATCTTAGGTGAACTGAGGAATGACCTTGAGTCTCTATGGTTAGGTTGATCCTGAGCTGGAGGCAAAAAAAGAAAAAAATCATGTTCCCAGTGAGTAACCAAGTCCTGACCACTCTCAGCTGACTCCTGCCAAGGCTATGGTTTGCCTGCTTGGACTGGTTGCTCTAGAGGCTGGAGTCGGAGTTCTGTTTATGACACATGCCCTGGCTATTTCCTACTTGTACACTGTCTCCCATCTGATTTTTTCAGTTCCTACTTTCTTCAAGAGGACAGGCTTAACATTTTTAAAACCAGGCAATACTTCATTTTATTGTGCTATAATCCCTGAAATATGCATGATTTAGGAAAAGAACTCAACTTCATGAAGCAGATATTATTACACAGTCCTCTACCTCGCCTCAAGGTATCATTTTGTTCCCTTTAAGCGAGGGAAATCTTCAGAAGACCTGAAGTGCAGGCCACTGAAAGTCTGTGCCTCTGAGGAGCTCCCTGATTTCTGACCCTGCCCTGCTCCATGGCGATAGCTGCTCTGTGGCTGTGATGATCCCTGGCTTTTCCAGCTAGAGCCTCTGACCAGCAGCACAGCGTTTGTTAGGAAAAGAAGCATATGAAATCTGAAAGAGGCTCTTCCGACTCCTGAGGAGAGGGCAGCTATTTTGGGAATGATGCTATTAGAGCCACTTTGAGTAGGGAACAAAAGCTCTCCTGGCTCCATTCATTTGCTGGGTGGTAGAATCAAAAAGGACGGCTGCACTGAAGGAATGTGAGATGTGTACTCTGCCCAGAACCAAGACCTGGCAAACTGAAAGGAGAGAGCACAGATTCCTGGAACTCTGTAATCTCTCTTAGGGAGTATCCTACTTTCCTAATCACACACATAATAAAAACTTCCTGCATTCAGAGATGTATTAACACTCTTGAGAATACAATTCCATTGTTTTTACAGTGAAGACTGTTATTCCACTTTTTCTTTTGTACTTAGCGAGAGATCACAAAAGATCAAGAGAAGGCTGGCCAGATAACTGAGTGGATTAAAGTACCTGTTTAGGCAGACACAGGGGCCAGGTTTCGATCCCCAGCCTGCCATGCTGGCCCTTCCCCTGGGGCATACTGAGACAGAGACTGAGAGTGGGTGTGGTAGAGCACGCTTATAATCCCAGCACTTGGGAAGCTGAAAAAAAGAAAGGATCACTACAAGTCCGATCTGTGTAGTGAGACCCTGTAGACCCTGTACTAAATACATAAAAAAAAAAAAAAAAAGGTCAGGAGCTTTCAGTTAGTGAAAATCAAAAGGAAGTTTGACATAGGCGACTCTGATGGATTTGCAACTGCTGCTATGATCTTGCTGCTGGAGGGATGCTATCTTGTTTGGTCCTTTAGCATCCTTGTGAAGTTAATGTCCTTGGCTTTCTGCTCAATGACAATGGCTTTTTACATGAGGGAAATTCCCTATCTAGGGTATTTCCTAATATGCCCATTCATCAGTAAAGAGTCTGGTGTTCTAATTCAGACTTAACAAAATCCTATTATTTTGCCTTATTATTGTACCTTCTACATATAGGAAAGACATAATAGGAAAACCAATGGTATTCACAGTGTGTAATGATTTTGGCCTGGAAATCCCTCAAGCTCTATTGGAGACTAACAGTAGGATGTCAGTTTGGATAGGAGGAGACTTGTCTTGAAGGTGCAGCTGCATAATCGGAACACTGCTTGAGCTTTTAAGATTTGTTTATTGTGATAAAGTTCTGGGATTTGACAGAGATGCCTGGCACTCTGAGGTTCCCTAGGTGACTTCCAGGACTGCAACCAGGTTTGGAAGCAAAATCTTGTCTGGACGGTCTCTAGAATGCTTTACTTATCTTGACCCTTGAAAATGTATGTGTAAAAAATGTGGTTTTGCATTTCTTTCAGAAAAAAACATTTCTTTTTTTTCTGAGCTAAAAATAATGAGAAAGAAACCAGTGGAGTGATTATGGAGTGACTAAAATTGAATGGTCATTGTGACAAGATCTTTCTTATCTTTTAGGAACAAATATTTTGGTTTATATTGTTAAATACAAACCACAAGGATGTAAGAGTCTGTGTGACTTTTTCTTTACATGCTTTCAAAGTCAGTGTCAGAAATCAAAATTATTCAGCCCAGAGCAGCCCTAACTCTAGTGGTGATTGTTAAAATCATTTCTTTCCCAGTGAGACATAAAACATCCAGATTGGAATTCTTGAATCTGTTATCATTTCTTCCATTGTCTAGACTTTATGTCCCACTTTCAATGAACAACAAAACAAAAGAAGACAATAACATGTTTATTCTGTTGGCTAAATTCAGTCTGAAATGAGTGATGGTTGTTACTCTCTTTATTTGGTGGCAATATTTTTTTCTGGCTCTGTCCAAGGATAGATAATAGAAGGATTGTAAAACTTGAGATCCCTGTTACAGAGTTCTTGCGGCTGTGATTTTCTTTGTGTGTAAATATTCCTCCCATGAGAGGTAAAGCTGTGAGGAAATCATCTGCATTTCCTCTGGAGTAGACAGGAGTTTACCAGCTGGAAACTGTCGCGGATGAGCAGAGCGTGATGTCTATGAGACCTGAATTTTGCTCTTCTTTTGTCTATGTGGACATGCAATCACTTATTTATGCCAGACGAAAATCAAAGTGCCCCTGCTGCTAAGCAGGACTTAGCTATGAGGCATTAGGAAGCAGCCAGCAAGTGCGCTATTTTCTGTAGTTACGTGGAGAATATGAATGATTGCAAATCTGTTGGATAAGACTGGCTTCCATCCATGTCTTCGTTTTGTCTGAGCGGCCCTCCGTGAGCCCCGTGAGCCCCGTGAGCCCCGTGATCCGAAGGCACGGAAGAGTGAGGCAGCACCTAAGTTTTCACCTAGAGGCTGGCGGCTTTTCATTTTCCAGCAAGAACAGTGATTCACAGGATGGGTGAGGGCCTTGGCTGTGCCTCCCGGCTACTGCGAGATTACAAGTTCTTGGATTTTTGGAAACTGATCACAAATGTTTTTGAGAAGTACTGAAACAAATATGTGGGTTTTACCACTTAGTCCTGTAAGTATTTAGAACTGTGTTTCCTCTCTTGGGACAAAGACATGTAGGTGAATAAAGATTATTGAATGATTTCACTTTGATTCAAAAGTCCCTGAGTAACTTGAAGAATGGAGTTTTTAAAAATAAGGTGTATGGGGGCCGGCCAAATAGCTCAGTGGATTAACATGCCTACAAGCAAGTACAGGGGCCAGGAGTTCAATCCCTGGGCCTGCCATACTGACCCCGCCCCCAGGGCATGCTGAGATGGCAACTGAGACTAGGTGTGTGTGCTCCTGTAATCCCAGGTTTTGGGAGGCTGTAAACAGGCAGATCACTAGGAGTGTGATCTAGTAGTGAGACCCTGAACACCTGATAGACTCTACACTAAAATACAAAAAATAAAAATAAAAATAAGGTGTATGGACCATATCAGTGTAGTTTCTGGTCACAAACTGAGAAATTCTAACTTCTTTCTTTGTTACTTTCTCTTTTGCCCTTCCTTCCTTCTCTCCCTCCCTCCCTCCCTCCTTCCTTCCTTCCTGCTTTCCTGCCTTCCTTCTTTCCTACCTTTCTTCCTTCCTTCCTTCCTTCCTTCCTTCCTTCCTTCCTTCCTTCCTTCCTTCCTTTCTTACTTGACACTGGGTGTGGCTATACAATTCAGA